AAATTCTGCCTGCTGATTTGAAGCTTTGCTTATCTGGACAGTGATGTGAGCTCAACTGGCTGCCCTCACCTTAGTAAGGTAGTGGTTAGTCGCGATCCTGACAGCTTTCTGATTATAATCCGTCGGGTTCCGTCTCCAAATGCACTCTAGCCTTCTTCTGTTTTGCTTCATAGCTCGCACCTCCTGGTTAAACCAGGGCGCTGGCCGAGCTCTGCAATGGAGAGGACGTTTAGGAGCAATCGTGTCAACAGCCTTGGTGCAAGCCAGCCATCAACCAGAGCCATGACAGGAGTGCCAGTCAGATCAGCCAGAATCCCTCTCATGGAGTCCTGGAATCCTATAGGATCCAGTAGCCTTCGGGGGAGGACCACTAAAATAGGTCTTTGCTCTCTGTGGAGAGAGAGAGCCACTGAGAGGTTACATTTTATTAGGTGGTAATCCAACCATGACAAGGGAACTGACACAAGATCAGTTGCCATCAGACCACACTCACTCCACTCAGTGGAGAACACCAGGTCTAGCATGTGACCACCCATGTGGGTGGGACCATTAACATCTTTGGACATGTCCAAGGAAGCCATGGTTTCCAAGAACTCAAGAGCTGGACGGGAAACCTCTGCTTCCGCATGGATGTTGAAATCGCCCAAGACCAAAAGCCTCAGGGAAACCAATAGTGCCAGCTCCAGTAAGGAAATGGCTGGGTCGCAGGGAGTGCGGTAACCCAGCAAGATCCCAATACTATCCCTGGCCCCAATAGACACGTGGAGAGCCTCCAGACCTGGCTTCACCACCACAGAGTGCCTAACAATCTCCAGTGTTTCTATAAACAATGGCTACTCCCCCTCCCCCAGTCTACCCTGGTGCTAGACTGCATAACCGGGAGGACAGGCAAGAATCAAGGGAACACCCCCCCCTTCCCCACCCATCCAAATTTCGGTTATATATGCCAGGTCTGCATCCTCCTCCAGAATAAGGTCTTGGAAAATCTGAGATTTGTTGGATACAGACCTGGCATTCAACAGCACCAGATTTAGAGTGGAGGGATGGCTGATCTGACTACCTCGAGACTGACGGTTGGTCACAGTGCCAGAACAGTGAACAGCCTTCAAACATCTGTTTACTGTTCTTCTGAAATGAGTAGGAACTGTGCCATCACCATACCTCCCTCCACCTGTAATCACTCAGATGTTCAAAGGATAAAGGGAAATGGTTGGTTGGGATAAAGGGAAATGTTGGGTGTGCATTACAAGCTAGTTAATATAAATTTACGATTTTAACAGTTAATTACAAGCTAGTGCTTCGAAGAAGCTGCAAACACCATTTAGGTTTTAAGAAGCAGTGTAAGAACTTCATCTGAAGATGGAAAGATAAGGTCATGATGCCATGATGAGTATATTTGTGTGTGTGTTTGCTTAACCAGCTAAACAAATGAATCCTGTACTGATCTCCTGATGACCAGTCACTGAAGCTGGCTGAGAAAGCTGGGGCTAAGAGTTTAACATTCTAAGGTAGCTGCACCTCTAGCAAGGAGCTCAATGTAATGTCTGTTTTGACCCAGCACGTAGCAGCCTGTTTGAAGCCAGAGAGAGATTAGAAAAGACAAAATCCCTACTCAGGCAATATCTTGATGGACTGACTCACCCTGATCCCTTGAGGGAAGCGCCTGGCCATCCTCCTCTCCATCACTGCTTTCTGCACATGAAAATCTGCATGTCTGCAGAGAGGTTTCTGTAGGTGGGCTCTTCATGTTAGCATAAGCCCCAGTTTCCCAAGGTCTCCTCTTGTGTGCTGCACCAGCACAAACAGAAGCCTCTCCTCTATTGCTTTTTTTCCCAGACTTAGAACATGATCCCAGAGAGGGTAGGAGGTAGGTCCTTGCCTCAAATCACACCAAGTCTATTCACAAAGATAATGCCTGAAGAGGCCTAAAGAGGGAGACATTTCAGTTGGCCACAGCTGTCTGCTTCCACCACCACTGCCCACTATAGGAACTTAGTCCCCAGCACGTGCCTGGTTGCGCTTGAATGTCCAAGGTATTTGGGAGGAAGTGCCATGCAATCAGCCAAGTCTTTTATTTATTCTGAAATGAGTATTTATTGGACTTATATACCGCCCCATAGCGCTACAAGCACTCTCCGGGCGGTTTACAATTTTAATTATACAGGCTACACATTGCCCCCCCCCAGCAAGCTGGGTACTCATTTTACCGACCTCGGAAGGATGGAAGGCTGAGTCAACCTTGAGCCGGCTACCTGGGATTTGAACCCCAGGTCGTGAGCACAGTTTTAGCTGCAGTACAACGTTTTAACCACTGCGCCACGAGGCTCAGTGGTTAAAACCACTGAGTCTTTCAAGGACCACAATATCTCAGAACGAATTTGTTGGAAGCCACATGATGGGAGCAGGCAGAGTCGGTAGAGTCCGTCAGCCCACACTCATTGTATCTCGAGAGCCTTATTTTTTGTACTTTTTAATTAAAATTAAAAAAAAAAAGGAATCACGTGGGTTACGTTGGGCACCACCAACAAAGAGACAGAGACTAGCAGGAGCTTCACTGCCATTTTCAAATTCAGTGCCAACTGTGGCAGCTTCTTGTGGTGCGCAGACGCCAGAAGCTCTTCTTAACTTGCAGAGCGTCTTCCTAATTTCACAGGACAAAAATGTCTCCTCTCTATCAGAAATGGGGAAGGTTTCCTGTGGTGGCACCAACAGCAACACCCAGGAGCATGGTGTGTCTGCTGTGGCAGAAACAGGAGGGTTGCAAGACCCACAAAAACAGCTTGAGAGAATCATCCATGGCCTACAGGGCAGTGTAGCTACTTCTGCTCTACACAACTACTCAAGAATTTTTCATTTTTTTGTTTCCTACACAACCTCCCTTTTGTCTTTGTTTTTCTCTCGTGAGAACACACACACATGCACAGATGCCTAAGAGAGCTCAAGTTTCAAATCCATATTGAGCCATGAAACTCACTGGGTGATCCTGGAGTTGCCATTACCTCTTAGTCTCACCTACCTTGAATAGTTGTTGCGAGAATAAAATAAGGGGCAAGGAAGAACTTTTCAAAAGAAAACCAGGGTATTAATGCATTTGTAATAATTACTGAAAAATCTCATTCTCAAACAAGTCCAATGGCCGCGTCTTAAAGACAGAATCTTTAAAAAAAAATCAGCAGACTAAATTTCCTTAGATTCTTTTCAGGGGAAGCTATGCCAGTTAAGATACTCAGCAAGGTGTGATGGATAAAGTAACAAATGAGGGTTCAGGAGACCTGGTTTCAAATCCCCACGCAGCCATGGAAACTCCTGGAGGGGGGCATGAAAGCACTAAGACCATCTCACTTATCTTGAAAGCACAATTAGGATCACTAGCAGTCATTTCCAACTTGAAGGCACAGGTGTGATGGATAAAGTAACAAATGAGGACTCAGGAGACCTGGTTTCAAATCCCCACGCAGCCATGGAAACTCCTGGAGGGGGGCATGAAAGCACTAAGACCATCTCACTTATCTTGAAAGCACAATTAGGATCACTAGCAGTCATTTCCAACTTGAAGGCACATAACAATGAACAAACATACTGTATAGGTTCTGCTGTATGTTCAGTACCATTTAACAAATTTAAGAACCCCACCTGGTTTCAGCTGAACTGTATGTTGACATAAGCATGCCTTACTGAGGCCTTTGGCTTCATGAAGCAAAATGGAACCTTCCCCTTCCTACTTTTGAGTCCAGCTGGACTGACGGGTGAATCCAGTGTGTGAAAAACTGTTTTTAGCCTGAATTCCAACTCGCAGAATTCCACCAGCTAGCATGGCTATGGTGAGGGCAGGACATACTAAAGCAGGCAAAGACCTTTCTCTTCAGGCAAGCTTTCCCTCAGAGACTGGCTGCCTGAGAGGGGTTTTTAATGGATAGTTGTGCTATATAAGCGGCAAAATATGTTGAATGAATGAATGAATGTAAGTGTAAAGGCTCTTTACTTCGGAATGCACAATGACTTCCTCCAACACAGAGGAGCAAACAGGGAGCGGTTGCTACTCCCAACATACCACACAGCATCTGCTGTCTGGGGAAATCTCCTAATTTTGCCTGAAGAAGCGGCAGTTCCACGCCTTGCACGCTGTCCTAAACATTTCAGGAAGACACTTTTGCACCTCTATCAACTCCACTGCAGGCCAAAATACAAGAGGTGAAAATTTCTCTTCTTCTCTGTACTGTTGAGAAGCCCAAGTAATGGAAAGCCTGCTTCTGTGCACTGACATTTTTAATGCCAGCCCATCCCGGTCCACGGCAATTCAACTTGGTCGGCCATAAGAACTTTCAGAAGTCCATCATAGGGACAATAACAAAAATTGTATATGGATAATTCATTTTAATTGCCATTAGCCAATCTGAAAACCAATTCTAAGTGAAAAGCCAAGTTTAACTACAGTATATAGATATATCACAGTTGCACCTATCTAATCAGCTCAATTCTAAGTGAAAAGCCAAGTTTAACTATATAGATATATCACAGCTGCACCTATTTAATCAGCTACTGGTACCCAGTGTGATGTAGTGGATAGAGTGAGGGACTAGGAGTCCACAGAACGGGGTTCAAATCTTTGCTCAGCCATGGTGGGGTGGAACCAGTAAAACCACTCCTTAAATATCTCATTACCTTGAAAAGCTCTATTAGAGTAATTGTAACTTCCTTCTGACTTGACAGCACAAGAGCCACCAACACCTGCTAGTACCTATTAGACTTTCTTCTGCTTTTCTTTTCTTTGTGCAATTTCAAATTTTGTCCTGTTCTCTGTTTTTTGTGGCAGCCCACTGCTCCAAACTCCCTGATACGAACATCCAGAAATCCATGAACCCAACCTGCCCTGGGGAAGCATGCTCTGGAAAGGCAGGGGGTGCGGGTGCGGGCCAAGAGGCCAGGCAGCTTTGGGCCCGGCTGCCCCCTCCCTCCAGCCCCAGCGCCGGGGAGCCCACCCACTCACCCGCCGGCCTTACCTGCTCTCTCCTGGACCCGGCAGGTGACGTCCCACTTGGCCCTGGCCTCCCGGTCCAGGCGGCGGGCCAAGGTGACCTCGCCGGTGTCCCTGTCCAGCCGCACGGGGGCCGCCTCGGGCGGCGGCGAGACCAGCTCGAA